ACTGACCCTCCGACAGTGCGGCACTCCCTCAGTACTGACCTTCTGCGCCCTGTGAATGTACGAAAAGGACAAGGACGCGGAATTGCCAACAGGGAAACGGACACAGCAGCCTCTGTGACCACCCCCACCCCCACCCCCAACCAACATTACCTCATTTCCAGTCCGATCCTTCCAGGTCATCCACAAGTCCCCGTTGCGGCTGTACTGCAGGCCGTAGAGGCGCGCGTACTCATTTCCGTGCCCGTTGGAGTGGCGGCCCTGCGTGCCCACAAGGGTGATGAAGTAGAGCTTGCGGAGGTCGATCTGCAGGAACTCGGAGCTGTCGTGGTGCACAGGCTTGGCAGGGCACCAGGCTCCATCCCCGTGGTCTGTCCCCAACCTGCGGATGGACAATGCGGCAACGTTCAGCTCAGTCAAGGCCATTGGCGTGCGCGACCATCGGCCTCCCTCTGACCCAGTAGCTCCGCACCCCACTTGTAACAGCTCCGTTAAAACAAAAACACTAGCCTCGCGATGGAACTCATTACAACCTGCACTGAAGGTGTAAATCCTGACAATTTAGAGCCCCCCTCCCTCCTTTAATTGTTTTTTTCTTTCTCTGCTTTTGAAGGAATGTAATTTCTTTTTTATTCACGGGATGAGGGCGTCGCTGGCCAGGCAGCATTTATTGCCCATCCCTAATTGCCCAGAGGGCAGTTCAGGGTCAACATGTAGGCCAGACCAGGTAAGGACGGCAGTTTCCTTCCCTAAAGGACATTAGTGAACCAGCTGGGTTTTTCCGACAATCGGGAATGGATTCATAGCCATCATTAGATTCTTAATTCCAGATATTTATTGGATTCAAATTCCACCATCTACCATGGTGCGCTTTGAACCCAAGCCTGAATAATGCTCAAGTTTTGACTTTATTTCTTCATGTTTCCGATTGGTGCCTCAGATTTTGTGCCAAGCTGCCTTGGTACCTCAGAGGGTGCTGGAAGCGGCGATGTTGTACACTTTTTACTGTACTCCTGTCCTTTGACAATCAAACCTCATCCCAATTCTCGACCACCCCAGGCCCGGCCCGGGAGCGTCCCGGTTTGGAAAGCCATTTGGCCCATCACTCCCCTGGTCGGCTCCCTGAGGTCAGCGACGTAAGCACCCACCCCTTGCCCCCTTTGCCACGTCCTCGCCAGTCACTGGCCAATTTGGGCTTCCCACCGCCAATTCCAGGGGGAACTAGGCCGAACAAGTTGAAACGAAGGGGCTCCCTGTCCTCTGAAGGAGGAGGGGGTCACCAGAACTGGAAAGGTAACTCGGCTTTCTCTCCCCGTGGAGGCTGTGAGGCCCTGGCAGAGTTTCTCCGGCAATTTCCGTCTTGTGTTTCTGATTTCCAGTACCTGCAGCACTTTGGCCTATTTTTTGAGGGGCGGGGTTATTTTATTTAGAGACTCTCGGTTTCTTTCTCTTTCTTTGAACCTCTCTCCGTTGCTGTTTTGTGTTTGTATTTTTTGGAGGATCTCTATTCTTACTCTCGCTTTTTTTTGTTTTGTTTCTGAAGCTCGAATTGAAATGTCAGGTCTGCCACGGTGGGATTCGAACCCGTTTCGCCAGGGTTGCTAAGCGCCCTCCCCCCACCCCAGCTCCGCCAGCGCCACTGCCCCTGAGCGGTGGACACAGGCTGTGAGCCTGTCGAACAGGCTGCTGCTGGGTCCCAGTGGTCGTCCGATTCCAATCTCCGACCCATCGCGAGTCTGCGACCGTTTCTCCGTGCGCTGTCGGGGTGGTTATCGGTATCAGGGTAGCACCTTCCGGTTCACTTAGATCGAAGAGGTGGGTGGGGGTGGGGGGTTGGGGTGTTATGGGAGGACGGGGAGTTACCTTCATCTTTCAACTGCCCCCTTCACCTCCTGAGTCAGATGCTACCAGTAATGTTACCTCTTTAAGCAATATTTCACCTGGCACCAGTAATATTAACTCTTTAAGCAATGTTTAACCATCCTGGTTTTGCTGAGCCAGGGTGGGAACGTTAACGTGAAGAAACGGGCCATTCGGCCCGACTGTTCCAGGTGTGCTTCCTCCCCACCCCACCCCCTCCCCCTCATGACTGACAGCACCCACATTGCCAGATTTGGCCCACCCTTGTGTAGGTTTTGTATCTCGCGGCGAGTACGTTTGGTGAGGGTTGGAATCCATTAGGGAGGTGCCCAGCTGGGGCCAGGGCTAAGGTTGGGGGGTGGGTGGGTGGGTGGTAAAGAGGGCAAGTGCCCAGGTTAGCGGTGCGATGGGATGGCGTGGGCTGACGTTGGGTGAGATCTGGCTGTGCCCACAGGCCAGGGCAAGACATTGAGGAGGGGGGGGAATGGAGGTTGAGGGGGCGATGAGGCAGCATGTTGGGAGGTGGGGTGGGTGGAGAAATGGTGTTGCTGTAGTTACTTTACCTCCCGTGTTTCGCTGCCGTTGAGTCAGACCACCAGCTGGAGGCCACAATGTCTTCATCCCGGATGACGGAGTCCTGCATGCCCAGGGCAAACCGACAGAGCTCTACAGAGGGGTGGTGGGGGGGGGGGGGAGAGGGAGGGGGAGAGAGTGAGAGTGAGTGAGAGAGAGAGTGAGAGAGAGAGAGTGAGAGAGAGAGAGTGAGAGAGGGAGAAGGAGAGGGAGATGGGGAGAGAGGGATGGGGGAAGGGGGAGGGAGGGAGAGGGGGAGAGAGAGTGGGAGAGGGAGAGAGGGAGATGGAGAGAGGGAGAGGGAGGATGTGAGAGGGGGAGCGCGAGCGAGGAGAGAGAGAGAATAGAGAGAGAAAGAGAGAGAGAAAGAGAAAGAGAGCGAGGGAAAATACCAGTTAGGTTGCCTCATTGCCACACTGTTGATCAGTAGTACACAACTTCTGCAATGAAAGATCATCAAAAGAATCCCCAGTGCACATCCAATGTGACTTCCACCATCTCCCCTTCACAGGGAAGCTTCATAATTGTACGAGGTTGAAAGGAAATGGGAGACTACGCTGATACATTGAGATACAGCCTCTATTAGCTGGGCCATAGCGTATCAGAGCAAGGGAGTCCTGTTCCAACTTTTGTTAGGCCACAGATGGAGTACTGTGTGCGGTTCTGGTCCCGCACTATAGGGAGGATGTGATTGCACTGGAGAGGTGCAGAGGAGATTCACCAGGATGTTGCCTTGGGATGGAAAGTCTCAGTCATGAGGAGAGATTGGACAGGCTGGCTTTGTTTACCCTGGAGCAGAGGAGGCTAAGGGTGTCGGATTGAGGTAGACAAAACAATGAGAGGCACAGACATCTTTTCCCCACGGCAGACATGTCTAAGACCCAGGGTAGGGGAGTCTAAATATAGAGGGCATAGGTTCAAGATGAGACGAGGAATACTTAAAAAGGACCTCTTCTTTCACGCAGAGGGTGGTGCGTGCATGGAATGAGCTGAAGTGGTGGAGGTTGGTACAATTGCAACATTTAAAGGCACCTGATGGGTACATGAATAGGAAGGGTTTAGAGGGATATGGGCCAAATGCAGGCAAATGGGACTGGATTAATGTAGGATATCTGGTTGTCGAGTTGGGCCGAGGGGCCTCTTTCCATGCTGTGACTCTATGACCAGAGGGCATAAGTTTAAGGTGAGGAGAAAGTGGTTGAGAGGAGATCCGAGAAAGAATTTTTTCACTCAGAGGAACCATGCGCCTGAGAGGGTGGGGGAGGGTGGTCCTCTCACAACATAACATTGTAGGCTGTGAACCAAGCGCAGGTAAATGGGATTTAGTGTCGTTGGTGTTTGTTGGTTAGTATAGCCATTATGAGCCAAAGTCTCTATGCTGTATGATTCTATGACTCGACCCCGTGGCTGGGGGAAGGCTGCTGTGGAGCATAACCATCAGTACAGACCAGTCGGGCTGAATGGCCGTTTGTGAGACGTTTAGAATTCGTTCTTGGGACGTCTCTGGCCGGGATGGCATAAATCGCCCGTTCCTAGCTGCCCTTGAGAAGGCAAGAGGATGGGGCTGCTTTCTCGAACCTCTGCAGTCCATCTGTTGCAGAAGCACCCGTTCTGGGTAGGAGTTCCACTGCGACTCTGAGGGAATGGACGGCGATATATTTCGAAGTCAGGGTGGTGAGTGGCTGGGAGGGGAGCTTGCAGGGGCCGGTGTTACCTTGGACCTGCTGCCCTTGTCCTTCTGGACGGTAGAGTTCATGGGTTCAGAAGCTGCGAGGGTTTCGAAGGCGTTTTGGTGAGTCTTTGCAGTGCCCTTTGGCACAGAGGGTACAATTTCCTACCAAATGTGCGCCAGCAGTGGTGGGCATGACGTTGCTCAAACTGTCTGGATTGTGCCGAACTTCCTGAGTGTCGTTGGAGTTGTAACTCAGCCAGGCAAGTGGAGAATATTTCATCCCACTCCTGACTTGTGCCTTGCGGATGGTGGAGAGACACTGGGGAGTCGGGAGGTGAGTTCCTCGCCACAGAGGTCGCAGCCTCTGACCTGCGGTTATCAACACGTCGTACATATGTGTACTCAATGCCAGGTAATGTGATTGAGGAGAGTAATCTGTTCCCACAGCACTGAAACACAACGTAATCAATAATATTGTCATCTAGCACCATGAGTGGTGACTTCGCTGGATAAATAGCGTCCCCGGACGCAGTGATATTCTTGTGTTATCTAAATTATGCACGTGGATTCTGGTTATTTGCAGATCTCTGGTGGATTTGTTTACAGCTAAACTAGTGAATACAGGGAGTCTGGGACTCTGGTGCTACAGAGCAGAGAGCCTCTGATCGAGACACTTGACTCATTTGCATGTTGAGTCCTTAAGTGACTATCAGTCCAAAGGTGATAGATTACACAGGACAGAAAATAAAGTTGAATGTGGTCCTCTTGGATAGCAGATCTAGCCTTTGATGAAATACAGTTCGTCCAAACAGTCCCAATTTCCCAACGGCCCCAAAGGACAGTCACTGCATAGCCTGCAGAAGGGTCAACAGAGCTCAGTTGAGTTGAATGATTGCTCATGTGCTGGAAATTCTATGTAAGGGTGCAATCCAACAATAATGAGGCACTGACAAATCACATCAGCCAATTGCTACGGATTAGCCCATATGAAATAAGCACAGGAGAAGGCCATTTAGCCCCGTGTGCCTGCTCCGCCAATCAACAGAATCATGGCTGATCCAACATTCCTCACATCCACTTTCCTGCCCTTTCGCCAAACCCCTTGTCATAAGGCAATCCTTCCATACCAGGGAGCATCCTAGTGAACCTTCTCTGAACTACCTCTGATGAAATGAGATCTTCCCTTTACTGCTCACAATGCTCCAGATGTGGTCTCACCAGCACCTTGTACAGTTGCAGTAAGATATTCCTGCTCTTATACTCCAACCCCCTTGAAATAAACATCCCATTAGACTTCCTGATTACCTGTTGCCCCTGGGTGCTGGCTTTCTGTGTTTCGTTCACAAACACCTCCAAATCCCTTTGTGTTACAGCTTTCTGCAATTTGTCTCCATTTAAATAATACTCTGTTCTTTTATTCTCCCTTCCAAGACTGCAGGCCTTGTACAACATTGGCTGAGTGACAGCAAACAGAGGGGTAGGTTGGGGAGAAAGGTTTTGTTTCTTCGAGTGCAGCAAGGTAGACAGCAGAGCTCCCTCGAGCAGTCAGTATTGGGAGATCTGCTTTGCTTGATCCATATTAGTGAGTCAGACATGGGTTTGTAGGACAAAATCTCACTGTTTACAAAGGGACGCACTCCGCCCCGCCTTGTATTTGGAGGTATTGTGGCAGAAAACATTCGACGCAAGAAAACAGAAGAGATTGACGAGGAGGTTACTGGGAATGGAGGGTTTGAGTTGTAAGGAGAGGATGGGACTATTTTCACTGGACTGTAGGAGGTTAATGGGTGACCTTTTAGAGATTTATAAAATCGCGGAGAGGGTGTCTTTTCCTTAGGGTGGGGGGGGGGATTTTGTGACTGGGGAGGATATCTTTAAGGGGAGAGTGAGAAAGATTTAAAAAAGACATGATGGGCAATTTTTTTTTCACAGAGAGTGGTTCGTGCGTGGAATGAACTTGCTGAGGAAGTGGTGGTTGCGGGTACAGTTACAATGTTTAAAAGACATTTGGATAAGTTCATGAATAAGAAATGTTTGGAGGGATATGGGCCAAGCGCAGGCAAGTGGGACTAGTTTAGCTGGAGATTATGGTCAGCATGGCCTGTATGGACTGAAGGGACTCTATGTCTAATGTAAGGGAATGCAATATAAAGGGGAGCTGGCCACCAGACGGCAGTGCAGGAGCAAATACAGGGAGTGCTGGAGAAACACTGCAGGTCTGGCAGTGTGTGTGTGTGTGTGTGTGCGCGCGCGCGTGTGGAGAGGGAGAAAGCAGAGTTAACGTTTTGAGTTCCAGTACGGTTCTGAAGCAGCAGACCCAAGCAAACAGACTCAAAACGTTGACCCTGTTTCTCCACACACTCTGCCAGACCCACTGAGTTTCTCCAGCATTGTGCTCCTACATCTGTCTTATGGTCATGATCTCCCAGCTGATAGCTGCAGGACAACCTTGCAACGGTTTGGACCATTGTTGTAAATTTATCAAAGATCCCCGGGACATGAACATGTGAAAGGGCAGAACAAACGAACTCGACTCGGCTGGCTACATAGGATAGGACTTGTGGGATACACTGAGATGTATTTATATACACTCTTGACTCAGACTGCACCTGCTATCCAGTGCCATTATAGGTGTTTTCTTAGCAACCTGTTCAGAGATGCTATGACACACCTTTGCAGCAGGTGATACTGTGGCTTTAAGAGGTGTATTTTTTCCTTGTTTCTTTTGAGAGAGAGATTGAATGACACATGCCGAGCTGTCTGTATGAACATAAAGAGCTCGTGAGGTTGTGGGTTTATTTTAGAAGATGGAACAATAGAAGCAGCCTGGCTGGGTGTGGCCAGCGCTCTCAGACCACGCTTTCTAGTTTTTTTTTAAGTTTAAACAGCTGCTGTTGGTGTCTGAAGACATCAAAGCTATCTTTTCCCTCTCTCAGTTATAGTGAGAAGCTGGGGTTTCTCTCTGTTGCTGGGTTACCTGTGAGACAAATCTATTTTGTCTGAATTTTCCTTTTTGCCAAAAGGTGTGTTTATAGGATGTTACTGTATTGGAGCAGGTAATTAGTAATAATTGCATATCTATTATTCTGTTAAGTTTTCCAATAGAGTTAAGTTACTCGAAGCTCTTCTTCTGTTGTATTTTAACTGTAGTGTTTGAATAAATCGTGTTTTGCTTAACGTCAAGTAGTTTGACCAGTCGCATTGCATCTGGGACAGATGCATTACATTTGCCTTTGAAGATAAGAAAACGTTAGGTTAAATATATTTGTTAATAATAAATAAAATAAATAAATAAATATATTTGTTAACTATTTTGAGGGGGTCAGGTCTGATCCATAACAGGTAGGACATGAATCTTCTAGCTCAGAGGTTAGGGGCAGTCCGACTGTGATACCAAAACCTGTGCCATTTACAACATGT